CTACCAATTTCTATTTTTATCTCTATGAATATAATTATATATATCTATTTATAATTATTAAATTGGAATATATTTTTACTTCATACTCTGATTCTGTTATTCTCCTATCATGGGCTTCATCTCGCACGCTGCTGGAAAGCAGCGGGCCTCCACTAATATATTTATAATTATTTTAATATATATATATATATTTAAATAATATATATAGTATTTGAAATATATTAAATTTCATTAGAATAATTAAATATATATATGATTTTTAGATTATGATATTTTCTATATTTTAATATTAATTACATGGATTGATATTAAATTTGTTTATTGGCAAATATTGGATACTACAAACCATTATTTTATTGATGAATTCCATAAATGGATTATGGATAAATAATAATTGGATGAATTTCATTCATAAAACATAATATATATGGCATTATTATATATTAATATATAATATATATATATAAATAAATAATAATTTTCAACAAATTATGAATTTATAATTGTATATTACAACAATATATAAATTATATAATTAACTCTCAAATTATATATATATAATAATTAATAAATTACCTATATAAATATAATATTATCAATATCAAAATTAATCTAATTAAAAATCTTTAAAATCAAATAATAATATAATTATGAATTATATAAATATAAATATTATTATATATATATTTGAATCTAATCTATAATCAATTTATCTATTTATATTATTTTTAGTATTATTTTTCATTTGTTTTTTAAATATATATTAATTATTATATTAAATTATTAAATCTATATTTCATTAATTAATATAGATATATCCCAATTGTCGGCCAATTATAATTATTAAACTTCCATAATTTCTAATCATAGACCAATATTAAATCATTCTATTTCATTATTCTATCAAATATTCGAATTCCTCCAATTATATCTAAATAATTAAAAATTATCATTATATATTATATAACATTATTCTATACCATAATAACAATTTTAAGATTTATATATATATATAAATATATATATATCCTTAGATAATAAATATCTTATTCTATAATAATATCTATTCATTAATTATATATAAACAACATATTCAATTTATATATATTATAAATATATATATAATATTATATATATAATTATAATATATATAATTATAATATATATAAATATAATACATCTGCAATTATAATATACAAATATTTATAATTAAAATAATATATCATAACTATTACTAATTTAATATTTTTTAATTTTAATATATTTAATACACCTATATAAATAAATAAATTATAATAAATCCAAATATATCATATATAAATATAAATATTTTATCGTTATTAAACAACATAAATACATTTTATTTTATTTATAATTTAATAAACTCATATAATTTAAAAATCATTTTTTTTTAAATCCAAATATAAATTTATTTTTTTTCCTATCTATCATTACGTCCAAAGGGTCTTAACTCAACAAAACAACGAAACATACGCCCATTAATATTCAAAGGTACCCCAAACATAACAAATCAACCCGAGCAAACATCAAATAAGAGCCACCAAGATTCCACCTCGACCTATCATCATCCTCCGCCTCCAAGCATAAATACTAATATATTATCTCATTTATTACAATATCAATTCATTCATTTTAAATTCATTTAAATTAACTAATATTATTAATTTCAAATATAACAAAATAATAAATTTTGCTTCAATATTTTATAAATATTTATATTTCATATATATCCATATAAACATAATAAATTTAGAACTTAAACAATTATCCCCCATACCAATCTAATAAATACTCAACACATATTAATTATTCAAATATTAAACATATCTTTATTTCACTACATATACATATATAAATTTACTATCAATATACAAATCAATATCCAATCCAACAAATATTTTCCATTTCTATAAAAATATATTTTATATCCAGTATCGAATAAAACAAAATAAACAAATATACTCGGATATTTAATGAATCTAATAAATACATATCTATATATATATAAATGCTCCGAACCAAATGGGCAACATATCCTTTTATTCATTTAGTAAATCTTCAAAATAGATAAATCATATTCTATTTAACTTAATTCTGAGTTGTATGAATTTGTCGCCATGTGGGTGTGAATTTTTGAAAGGGTCAAGGAATGAGCGCGAGCTGCGCAGCTGAGCACACAGCTGAACATAGTCAAGCAGTTGAGCATGGCTGAGGTGCACTTTTCAATGCAAGTGCAGCGCGTAATGAACACTGTGCACTTTGGCCGATCCGGCTCGAACATCGCAACTTTTTAGTGCACGTGTAGTACACAAAGTAGAGTTGGCAGCTCCAGCTTGACATCGAGACTGCTTGGCGCTAGTGGGCCTGGTTCTCTAGCAAAACTGTTGCCTGGGTAACATGTGATCTGCAGGATATTAAAAGCAAAATCGGAGAACACAGTTCTAGACACCTGATTGCGACGCGGACAAGCATCTTTTCCATCATGTTCAGCCTTCGCATGCAGGTCCAAGCCACATGAAAGGCTTGTCAGCTTGTCACATTCACAGTCCAAACATTCAGTCGCAGCAGCCGAAACCATCGGAGAGGTCGTTGTGGCACATTGCGCATCACCACCTTGGCTCATGCTGCTTTTCTCCATGGTGGTATTTGGATGAAGCGGGGGGGCTGTCACGCTTCGAATGGATTTCACACCTTCGAGCCCCGAACCCGTGCTTTTAGCCTCGAATGCGCGGAAAGCCCGATCCGGAGCGGGTCGGTACAACAATGTGCAACACATGTTTGTTTGTTTTCGGTGTCCGGACCATGGCAACGGGAGCAGCGGTCCTCCTTCGGAGCCTGATCTGGACTGCGAAAGACTGCGCACTCCAAAGTTACAACATGTGCTCACAGCGGCTCTGGCGGAGCAGGGCAAGCTACCAAAGAATCAGTAGAGTCAAGAATATGAATCTTTTTGCGTGTGGTCCCAACATCCAGTTTGGGGGTCTTTGCGGGCTTATTCTCTGGGTTGCCACGAATGTGTGATGATTCGATAAACCTATGACAAGCACACTGATCTGCTGTCGGTCTTGCAGCCGGTAGCAGCATGCAATTTATGCTGTGACGCTCAATGTACTACGCAATTTAGCCAGCATGGCATGTTTGATCAACCTCGGCTGTAAACATGAGGTTGGCTCCGATGCTGAGCACGTCATCAACCCTGTTTTGATGATGCTAATAAGTGTATTGGACCAGTACGCCCAAAGGCCACCTCGATCTTGGGAACTTCCAGCTCAGAACCCCGACCACTGGATGTCACCATGGCGCTTGTATGCCAAGTTGCCAAGAGCTGCTTGGTACGCGGTCACCTGGCACACCCAGGACTTTGAGGTTCCTGGAAACTGAAACCAAGCTGAGGCAGCTCTCGCTGAGATGCAAACAAAAGGATAAACAATTGCCTGATTCCATCAGAAATGACACATCCTTGTCCCGCATTCGGCAGACTACTTTGGCTGAACAATGGGATTTTCCATGATGCTCCCGGCCGAAATGACAAGACTCGTTAGCCACATTCCTGCTTTGCTAGTTGAGCGCTTGTAAACCTCTCCCTGGGCGAACTATATGTTGAAAAAAACCCTTTAATGTGACACTGACTCCATAGGCCAGTCAGATTGGTGGCTTTGGCCCATCCATCGATCGCAGAAGCCTCCCAACCCTGCCCACAAACAAGCATTCGCAGAGTTCCCTGTATTCCTACCAAGGCAAACTCACCTTCGATGCTTGCCTGTGCAAGCATGCGCTTTGACGACGGTGGCTGGGCTCTGCGGCTGCTGTGACTTCACGATTGCGTGCGCCTCGGTATTGCGTGAGGCTGTGCATCATGACTGGGTCTGAGCTTGATGGAACTTCATGTGTTGAGCCAATTTGCATCAGCAGGGGTCAGGAAACAAGTCCATGCAAATTGATCCTGGCGGAATGACGCACTGTTTCACAGCGAAACTGCTTTGAGCCGAGGTGCAGGTGTGACATGCAAGCGTGGAGGTTGATTCGCTGTCAGCTCTGAAGCAACCCTTTCATGATACATTGGTGCATTAGGCGGTATCCCAATGCGAATGCCTTCGCAAAAGGAAGTGGGTAAAGTCCGCCCACAGAGTCACCACCTTCTGGAAAGCTTGGTAGAAGTGCAACGTTGTTGTGCGAGCACCTTCGATTCGAACCGCAAAATGCGGACTTTGTTGGCAAGAACCAGAAGGCCGAGGCGTTGCGAGCCAAACAAACAGTTGACAGTTTTTGTTTGATCAGGCAGCGGCCTACTGCCCGCCAAGACATTTCCAACTTTGTAGGGAGCTTGGACTGAATCTGACAAATGCCGAGAGCAAAAGGGCCAACATGGTCCACAAACAAACGCATTAGGGCTGGCATAGAACAGCTACCTGCATCATTGCCCAGGGACTCGCTACACAAACACCATTGCCGAACATGGCTGCAACAGGTGCAGGAAGCAAGGGCATGCGCATTTGCGCAGGTTAGCTGCAACGTACAGGCTTCAACGCAAGGTGTCTAGCACGAACACGGACGACTTGTTTATGGTGTCTGCCGGTGCGCTAAGGCTGCCTTCTCAAGTTGCGGGCGGCCGTGCGAGGCCAACAATGCCACCACGCACAAGGCGGCAGTCACGCGCTGAGCGCTGTGCCGCGGGTTTGCTCACGCAGTTGGCCATGCAGTGCGGAGCCCTGCGTTGGATTGGTGGCACCCTCAGAACCTCACGGAGTCAGGAACCGAGACACAAACGGCAAGCGCCCAAAGCACGGCAGGGCTCGAAAGCCACGCGTCAGCTTCAGCCTGCGTGAGGCTTTCAAGGCTTGCGTGGCCCGGCAGCCTGTAGCACACAACCAGCAATGCTAACCACTTCGCCAGGGCAGTGCGATGAAAACAAGTGAATGGCCGCTGAATGCCTCAGCATTTTTATGGAACCGTGCCCTGCAAGCAAGGCTTCTGATCCGTCAGCCTGATAAGCATGGGACCTGAGACCTCAGGATCAGTTGAAATGATGTGGAGCGGGAGGACATGTCAGAATCCTCCAAGGAGCATGCCAAGCGGATTGCACCGATTGTCAAATGGTACCTGGCATGCCATGTCCTGGACTGGGCATTGCTGGATTTGTCAGCCAAGCAACCTTGGTTGGTGCCCAAAACCAGGCGCAAAAGTGTGCATTTCAGCTTCTGGCACTTTCTCTTGCAACATTGAGCTCCTTGGTCCAAGGTCTCCTTTGATAGGCTTGTGCCCGCTCTCTTATGTGACTTAGCTTGAAGCGCTGCATAGACGTTGCCCTCACCCTGAGCCGTGCGCCCCTGGTAAGCCGAGACGGGCTCTTTCGGCGGGTTGATAGCAAGTCTGGCCTGGCTTTGTGAGAAACATGTTTGCAGCTCGCGCATCGCGGATTAGGTCCAGTACCCTCATGCTTCATTGAAGAGACCTCATGTAAAGAGAATCAGCGACACTTGCGTCTGATCACTACCCCCTCAAATCAGGTACTCGGCAAAACTGGGATCGTTTGTTCTTGGCCCTTCTGCACAAGAATGCGAGACAAAATCCCTTAGGCAGCATGGTGAGCTTGACCGTGCTGCAAACTCCAGCGCTCTTTGCACTAATTCTCCCTGGCAACGATGCGTGATCTCTTGAGCCCTTGCTTGTCAGCTTGCCAGGGCAGCTCGAAACGAAGGGCTGGACAAGTGCAAGGATGTCACTGCAAGCACAGATGTCACCAGCGTCATGTGTTTTAGTGTCCGCCCTGACTGACAGGACCCACGAACCTGTATCAGGTAAACGGCCATGGCCTTGTCAGCCTACCCAGTCGCTGATTGCACTTTGCGAAAGGCAACACTTTCAGCCGAAGGCCCAAGAAGACCTTCGAATGGCACCCCACTCGACCTTCTGTCCGAAGGCGCTGCAATCGCCATGTCATGGTGCTGCCAAACAACTTTTTGCCTTCCAACTGCGAGCTGCGCGTGTCAAAGCGCAGAGTTGATGACAACTGCCACCTTGGGTTGCATGGATCGCTTGCAAGTCTGTGGCCCTTGAGTGCCTCTTGAACCTTATTTTGGGCAGCCAAAACACAAAAGGTTGGCCACCAACGACCTCCTGGTGGAAAACTGTTGTTGTAGGCTCGGGCAACGATTTTCTGCCTGCGTGCTCATTACAGGCCACACATCTTTGCATTTCCGAGGGCCAAGCCCATGTACCTTGTCAGCAGGCCTTTCTGGAGGCATGACATCATTTCCTTTTCGCCTTGCCCAATCTGCACTGGTTGGGGCAAGCACGCCTTCTGGTGCAGCGGGCCGTGTGGCTATCCTTCAGGAAGCACAAGGGGAACCGGGCGGGCTGAGCTGTTGAACAAGGCGGTTTCGCCCGAAGCCGAGGATCCGAACCAAGGCCGCGCACGAGCTCGGCTTGGAAACCCAAAGTCACTCTTGTGGAACTGCATTTTTGTGTTTCCGAAAGCGCTAGAAGAGGAAGCACATAGCCTCAGGGTTGAAAGACACAAACCGATTGGCCTTGGCTAATGTTGACTCTGAACGCAGGTCAGGCATCTTGCATTGGAGCATGTTGCCTGGAATGGATGACTGAACCAGTGGACCTCCAATGGCTGCAGCTGCAGCGGATTTCATTTCACCCTTGCCCTGGCAGCTCTGAAAACATGGCAGGCAGCTCCGAGCTGAACCTTGCCGGACCTGCATGGCCTCTGTCTTACTCGGCTTGCGCGTGATGGTCTTGTAGCTGAAATCACATCGAAGCAACTCTCCAAGAGGAGCTTGCCCTTGTGACGCCTGTTAAACTTTTGAACCTTCCGTGAGGTGTGCGGTTTGCCGCAAACTCCGCTGCATCAATTTGGAAGCTTTGCAAGCAAAGCCGCGCGCAATGATCGGCAAGCAGCATGATTTTCCACAAGGGCATGTCTGCTACTTAACTCTGAAAGGTCCCGCTGTGTTGCGACAAGTGTGCGCAAGGCAAAGTCCACCAGCTGCAGAATTTGATGAACCTGGCTGGCCATGGCCGATGTTCTGTGCCTTGGGAAACGTTCCTGCGCTGCCATGGCTTCAAGGCTTCCATTTTACCAACCGCCATGCTGGATGGGCAGCTTTCTCGGTCGTTGTTTTGTGCCATTGGATGCTAAAACCTCGCTCACGGGAAACGCTCCTCCCAACTCTGCCACACACCCCTGGGTGGTCACCACACGCCAAGGTAAAGCCTGACACACGACCTGCTGACAGGCCATTCTATGTCCTCTAAACCTACACATCAGGATGTCAAGCAGTTCATCTAGCTTGGCTGCAGCAACTTCTCTACTCCAAGAGTCCTATGCAGACACGTCCTTGTCGAAGGACTAAGTAAGCCAAGCTTTGGCTTTTGCGCTTGAGACAGGCACGGCCTGTGCATGCCATTCAAAAGGGTGTACAACCTCTGTCAGGCATGGCTTGGACATCATGCACAAGTCGCCGGCACTCAACACGCTGGTGCCGGACAAGCCCCATCGTTTTAAATATGGACAGCTTGGTACCCATGCGTCAATGCTACAAATGTTTAGTGACAAAGTGTCAGTCTTGTAAACTGAAGGTCGTTGGGCCTATTCTCAACGGAGACCGGACCGTGCTGCTTTTTGCCGCTTCAACGCTGAGAAGCACATCGAACCATACCTGGGGCTCACGAGCAGGCCGGCTAGCCCAGTTGTGACAGGATACGGCTGCACGCGCTTCTCAGAGAAGCGATCGATTTGAAAGGCTTTGGATGACTTTGGTGACCACCGGTCGGAGTTCCAAGTCTACTGGAGTTTTAGCTGCTTGAGTCATGGCGCTGTCGCTATCTTCACTGGAACTTTCTGATGTGGCAGTGCAACTGAGGGCATGTCCCCACAAACCATTTTGGAAGCAGTGCTCCAAGACAGGACTGGCCCATCTTGCCCTTTGAGTAAGCAAGACTGGCTGATACTGACGCAAGCAGCGCTGGCAACCCGTGCACCTCAAGCTGCTCTGTAGGCCACAGCCTGCAAATGGCTCTTTGCTCAAGCCGGCACACTCGGCAATGCTTACGGAAAAGTCTACACAGTGTGGCTGTGACCGACTTGCATAGACGCAGCTACCATGCTGCGTAGAAACAATCATTGATCATTGAATGGTGAACCGCTTGAAAACAGTGGGCTTGGCTGGCTGGTTCTTGCCTTTGCCTCAGGCGGTTATGCCTTGCACTTCTAGAATACGGTCATGCCAAAGGCTGCGGCCTGCGCCGTATCATGGCATAAAGACAGCCTGCTGGCGTATTCCCAAGCCAGATTTTGCTTTCAATGCTACAGGCCTTGCCCGAAGATCAAGCCAGGCAAACGCAGGCACAAGGAGCGCCACACTCCAGCTGGGCCACTCTTGTACTACCAGTTTGTGCGCGCCAGGACACAAATTTGCAAGAGGCGGTACCGGCAGAAACCTGACACGTACAAAGAACTGGTCCCAAATTGTGATTCTCTGCCCTGCTCGTGCTTAGGGCTCCTTTCTAAGGACGTCGAAGTGGGCAATGCGACCAGGAGCTGTCTGAGTCAGCACGGAGTCAACGCATTCTAAACATGTGACGGTACTTCTAGCCATCGCCTTTGCAGCTTGGGGCTGCGGCAAGTGAGCCTCATGCGACCCGCCTTCTGTTTGGGGATCTTTTGTCGGGCCTCTGAATTGGGCTTGGCCGCTCGGAACCCCTGCCAGGATTCAGGCGAGCTTCAGTTCTTGCTGGTACTTGATGGCCAAAGACAAACACACACACACACACACACAACCCACCACCTCTGCATCTGCACAATAACCAGGCTCGCTATCGCCCTGAGCAGAACTGCAACACATGCAGTTTTGTATGTGCGCCTGCAGAACCGAATTTTTGAGCCTCAAGAAGCTCTCGTATGGCTTCTGCTTCCGGGCTTGCGGGATGATCTTTCCGTACGTCCTTATCTCCGAGGTCGCATCGGCCCCAAGCGCTTGCAATTCGACGGAGGTTTGACATGGCAGAGTGTAAGCCTCCGCAGCTCCGCAATTGCCTTGTGGCAACAGGTTGGGCTCCAAAGAAGCTCCAGAAGGGGCCTTTGCAATGGTTGGCTGTCAAGGACTGCGGCCAAGGAGAAACCACTAAAGCCCTGGCATGTTACAACCAGTCCGGGCCCATAGTGGCTACTAGCACTGAGAATCTAGTCCTGCAAGCTCGTGGTACTTGAAAGGCTGCTCGTCAAGCAAAGGAAACAAAGGAAGCAAAGGACAGCGTGGCCGGCCACAAACTTCGTTTTTGAGATGCGTCAAACTCCATGGATCCAGAGTGGTTCGCAGCTTTAGCTATGGCTTTGCCACCCAGGGCCGGGTTTTAGTTTGCACCCTCTGCCCACCCTCCAAAGCCTCCAACAGAAGTCACGCCGCCGTGCAGCCGTGCGTCGGCCTTGTCCCTGTCTCACCTGGCCCAATTTTGTTTCCTTCCTGAGGTCTTTCTTGCTGATTGTCCTGTCGCCTCAGCCACGCAGGTGAAGGGCCGAATTAGTTTTTTGGCTGGACAAAGAACTGTTTTCGGAGGTATGAATGCTGCTTTGTATGGCTGCCATTCATGGCTTTCTTTGATGCGCAAGCAATGGCAAGGCATACGTTCGAAGGGCCACACTAGCTTGCGACCAGTATGCAAAACAGGAACGTGACAGGATTTCAGTTCAGGGGCCATCAAACGCTCTGAGCTGCTATGACTTCTGTCAACCTCAATGCATATTCAATTGCCAAACGTCTTGCTGTGTGGAGCATCGAAAGCTCACTCACATGTTTTGAAAACTGCTTGTTCCAATTTTCGCACAACCCTGCCTGCTGCAATTGTTCACTCGAGGCAAGAGGCCAACGACAGTTGAGAGCTGAATTAGTCTGCTTCTCACTCAGGTGGCTCCAAGCATGATTGCCATGCTTCCTCATTCAACGAAGGCTGAACGCCACAAGCAGGATGCGTTCTCAGCAAATGAAGGGCCGATTTGTGGGTGGTTTTCGGGTGAACGAAGATCCGCTAACTCGAAGGTACGAATGCTGCTTTGTACGGCTGCCGTGCATGACTTTCTTTAGTGCGAAGGCCATGGCAAGGCACGCGTTCAAAGGGCCACACCAGCTTGCTATGCAAAACAGGAACATGACAGGAAGTCAGTCCAGTGGTCATCAAACGCTCTGAGCTGCTCTGGTTTTTGTCAAACTCAATGCATACTTAATTGCCGAATGTCTTTGCTGTGTGGAGTAGCGAAAGCTTACTATTTCCGCACGGCCTTGCGTGCTGCAATTGTTAAAGGCCAACTACAGTTGATGGATGAAGTGGTCTGCTCTTCACTCCGCCATGCTTCCTGGTTCAACGGGGTGCTGAATACACAAGCAGCATGTGTTCTCAGCATTTTTGGACTAGGTAGCCTGCACAAGAAGTTCACAGGCCTTCTCAACCGCCCGGCCCGAACTAAGCTCAAACCGTGTCAGGTTCCCCGCATCAACTTTTGGCCATGTCAGATCTGGGTGGCAAGCCTTTAGGACCGAAGCTATGGAAGTGCCAGCTACATTGGCAGCTTATGCCCAACATTTGCCCATGCTCAGTGCCTGAATCGTCCCTCGTGTAAACCAATTTTGCGCGAGCTTTCTGTTGGTGTGACTTAGCGACGAAATACAAGGAACCCTGCAACAGGTGTGCTCTCCTGTTTCCATTTTTGGAGTGTCATGGTACCAGTGAAGTTTGGAAGCTGGGGATCTCACCGGATGCGGTGTAAGCAAAATGGCCGTGACCGTTGCCACATTCCATAGGGGTTCAGCATTCCATTCGGACCATTTCCACATTCTTGCAGGTGAACAAATGAAGGCCTCTTTTGGAATTTGGCGACACTTTGTGCTGACTTTACATGGGATGCACTTTGTCAAGGCTTGGGTTGTTTTGGGGCCAAGGCATCGGGGTCTAAGATGCCTTTTCAAGAAATTGGCCAGCCCTGGGCCAAACAACTGCTTCTAATCTGGCCCCTCAATGTTCATCGGCCAACATCCCTACAAACGCTGCCGCATAGAGCGCAGTGAGATTTCAGCCTGCTTTAAGTGACGTATGTGCCGTGGCGTTCGCGGCAACTGACCGGGACGCTGGGCTTTCCCGCCTAGGCTGGTTGAACACCTGCCCACACCCAGGCCTGAACATGGCACAACATGCATATGCGTCCTCCAATCTTGCACAGCCATCCTTGGCCGCTTCGAATCCAGGCTTCGCAAGCTGGTCACACATGCAACAGCCCCAGGTGTGGCCTTCTGAACAACAGGCAAGTCCAAGTCCTCATCCACCAGCGATGGTAATGATGGCGGATCGGCTTTCTCTAAGCTCCGTGGCCAATTCTAGTCGCACATGCTACATGTGCGCGATTCGGTTACCATGGTCTCTTGCTTGCAGGCAGTACGGGTTCAAGTCCAAGTCGAGTCCTTGCTAGATCTTGAGTTGGCAGAGGAAGCTGCAAGCAGGAATTGAATGACATGATTGTCATCTCACACCATGGCCCAGGCTGCTAATTTGCTGAAGCTATAAGTTCTGACAGGTACACGGATGAAGCGTCAGGTAAAGTCAAATGAACTCAGCGAGGTGGGCCAATCGCAAATGACAGCTATTTTGCTCGAAAGTCTGGTGCGGTTCCACCACATGCCCGGCGATCTGCTCATAGGTGCAAATGCCTGCTGCTGACATGCATCCGTCTTGCACACAAGCGAGCTGCTCATAAAGGCGAAGCCGAGGATGGAGCGTGTCAGTACCAAAAGCCACGCCAAGCTGTCTAGAGGCCAGTGCCACCCTGCCTACGGGTTGCCTGCTCATCCAGTGCTCAATTGCCTTCTAGACCTGTGATCCCGGCGGACACACTGGCCCGCCTGGCAAAACTCAAACTGCGGAATGGCAAACCAAGCTGGTCTGACATGGTCTCTTCGACCATCTCAGCCAAAGCTACAGGCTTCCCACAAATGGAGCGCTCTTGCCATCCAAACCGGTAGCAGTGCTTCTTGAGTGTCTCTGCTCCGCAAATCTGGGTCATGTGTCTAAAACCTGTTCTCAAATGACGAGGCTTGCCTAGAAGAACTGAGATTCCCATCTCAGGCAATCGATTTGGCCAGTGTTGTAGGCAACAGACTTGGAGGTCGACCTCAGGGCAGCGCGATGCGGTGCAGTGTTTCAACAACCAAGCTATAGGAAACAATGACCTGAACTGCTGGAAACGTGCAAGTGGCCATCAACCAAGATTTTTTAAAAACAAAACAAAACATCAATGACAATCTAATCTAACGGGCTGGCTGCATCTTGCTGAAACAGAAACACGCACACGCACAAGCAGAAACACACACACGCAGAAACACACACACACGCAGAAACACACACACACGCAGAAACACACACACACACACACACACGCAGAAACACACACACACACACGCAGAAACACACACACACAGACACACACACACACACGCAGAAACACACACACACAGACACAGACACAGACACAGACACAGACACAGACACAGACACAGACACAGACACAGACACAGACACAGACACAGACACAGACACAGACACAGACACAGACACATACACAGACACATACACAGACACAGACACAGACACAGACACAGACACAGACAAAGACACAGACACAGACACAGACACAGACACAGACACAGACACAGACACAGACACAGACACAGACACAGACACAGACACAGACACAGACACAGACACAGACACAGACACAGACACAGACACAGACACAAGACACAGACACAGACACAGACACAGACACAGACACAGACACAGACACAGACACAGACACAGACACAGACACAGACACAGACACAGACACAGACACAGACACAGACACAGACACAGACACAGACACAGACACAGACACAGACACAGACACAGACACAGACACAGACACAGACACAAGACACAGACACAGACACAGACACAGACACAGACACAGACACAGACACAGACACAGAC